GATAAAATCAATGGGCAAACCAAAAAAGGACTAAGTGATATGAAATAAATAAAAGCTATTGTTAAACTATAAACCATTAAATTTACCTTTTATTCTCTTTTTTGCGTCTCTTCGCTTTATTCAATTTAACTTATTTTTAGTTTAAATCTTGATTTATCTGTTTAGTCAAATCTCTATATTTGGTCTAAAGAAAGGAGGGAATCTTCCTTGAAGCCAAGTTTTAATAAAGAGAATTCTTGATAATATATATTGGTTCACTATAGTTAATAACACATCTCCCAACTCAATTATTGAAAATTTGAAAAATAGTTTTATAGGATATAAAGGATTTACGCTGAATCTCTATTTGAATTATCGCAAGGTGTCATCCTATCGTATTGGCTTTCATCAATCTGAAGATATTTGTCTCAAGGAATACCCCCATACAAATTTCACTTATATTAGACTGAGAGTCATCTCGGAATTAATTTTAAACTAAAGAACAAATTGGATTAATTTGGCTTTATATTATGCGAATGCAATTTTAGAATTCGGAGCTAAGCTCTGTTTGCATCATTAACCTCTGACAACAAGGTATAGGATAATTTACATATTGTAGAAGTGTTTGACAAATCAAAAATATATTTAAAACTGGTTTAGGTTCCCTTCTAAAGGTGATAGGATAGAATATTTTCTTTCAAATAAATATATCAATAGTTTTACGCATATTAATGCGTATTAACGCCTATATATACACACACCTTTTTTTGTTCTTCTTGCTCCATTAAACCAATTTACTAGGTACCGCTCAAAAAGAGCAACCTAGTTCATGATATTTGCAACTTTATTCACATATTAGACAAAATTTTAACGCGGGATCCGATCCCTGTCGGGAATCGAGAGTGTTACCCACTCGTCCACCGACTCTTTACACATCTTTTTTGTGCAAAAATGCATAAAAGATATATTTTAATAACTATTGGGGTGGAATGTGCAAACTCTTTTATCTTAATTTATTCTTAAATTTGTTCAACTAACGCAAATATTGACTTGCTTGAGTTTTGTATACTAATATATCAACGCTATTTCAAAGATATGTGAGTATCAATATATAGAAAGGCTGATCAAAATTGCAATCTATACGGTTAAAAAAAAAGATTTAAAAAAGTAGAAACAGCAGACAAAATATGGCAATAACACAACATCTATAGATATAATAAATGAACCCATTAATCAAATATATTTCTTTTCCGATAAAATAAACTTTCTACTGTTCTTATCAGCGTTAATATATGTGCAGAATCGCCCAAAACAATATTAAAACTCTAAAAAGTAGTATGATGAAGTAATTTGGTAATATACCATTAAGGGTATTTACTAACCAAGCTTTCCCAATCGTTTTCATCGAGGTAAAAAAACAGCACAAAGAATTTATTCCGTTTTTTATATAATTTATTTCAAGACACAAAACGCGATATCCCGGCTAGGGATAATTGCGTCGAATTAATTTTTTAAACAAAAACAGTTATAAACATATTATACAAGAAAAGGTAATCAAAAATAAAAAAGAGAAACAATAATATATATTAGGAATCTGAAACCTTCAGGTTAGAAAGATAATCATAAATATATCTACAAAAAGAGTTAAATCTATGATAATTATCTCTGCTATTTACAATTGATATAGATCTACAACATTATTTATTGTCTGTTGTCTAGCGGTGAAGAAGAGTGGACATTCCAGCAGTAGGTGCCTCGAGTCCTGGAATTCGTTGCCACAATGACAGCTAGAGTCTTCAACCTCTCCAATTTTTGAAAAAAAATCCCTTGAAATTTCCGTGGTTCGTTATAAACTGGGTATTATAAAAATTGAAGCGGAAAAATGTTGGAATTCCAAACGGGTTTATTCCGTTTGAAATGAAAAATTCATTCATAATCGCCTCATTATCTTTTAAAATGGAGACCGTGTGCACTAAAATAACAGTTCGCCAGAAAAGAGATAAAAATTGTTTTGAAAACTATTTCTGCATAAAATAACGAACTAAGTACATTATTACTAAAGGATTCTTCAAGTACCATTATAAGATCGATGGTTCAAGAAAATGGCATTCTCCGGTGAGGCAGGGAACTAGCGAGGTCCCTAAGGAAGAGAGTAAATATTAGATCAGTCGGGAAAATAAAACTAATGACTTCAAACACCCAGTTAACGTCAGAACTAAATGATTAGTGAAAGAGAGAGAAATTACATAATGACAATCTGTAATTGATCAGAGACTTGTGTTTAATGAGTTCCATTCGATGATGTTGTCTCCCCATTGATTTCCTTCTGTAATTGGCTTGTAGAAGCGTGTACATCATTCTTGACAGATCCACATGTACGCTCGATAAGTCTCAGCTTTGTTAGTTACATCAGAAATATCATAGTACAATTATGTGAGACAAGAATAAGTACTTGCTAGAAGAAGTTCTACACCTGGAATCTTTGATATTCATTATTACAGGATTTCGGATATTGACAAATATAAAAAAATTCATAAACACCGCAACTCTTTTCTTTTCACCTGATCAAAGGGAACTTTCGGGCAAGCCCTTCTTCAGCTAACTAAAACGTATAATATAATGTATAAACGTTTTAGAGTTAGTTAAAGAGGGGCTCGTCCGAAAGTTACCTTTGATCAGGTGAATAAAAAAGAGTTACGGTGTTTATGAATTTTTGAGATATTTGGTATTATTTATTCAACTGTAGTTTTATTCTTAATAATGTGAGGCAATCCTCTTTTGATGAGATTTGGAAATGATGAGATCATATGGATGAGAGCTATCTGACCTAGAGATATATCCAAGATTCAGTCTAGGAGAATACGGAATATAGGAGCATGCTAACTTTGTGTATTTTCAGTAATTTATTGAAGTTCAAAACTGAATTACGTCCTATATAACTCACATTATATATATGTACGAAGCCCAAGCAAAGACTTTCGAGGAACTGGAAATTCAACTGAACAAAGATCTTGAAACTCTACATAATTACTTTGAAAACTGGTCTCTGAGGCTTAATCCTGCAAAATCTGTACATTGCTGTTTCCATCTTAACCATCACAGAGCTGAAAGAAAACTCAACCTATTTATCAATAACTCTCAGATAACTCATAGCGAACATCCCAAATACCTAGGCATTCATCTTGAACGCACTCTCACCTTCAAAACTCATCTCACCAAGGTAAAGGGGAAACTATCATCACGTAACAATATCCTCCATAAGCTGGCCGGCTCTTCCTGGGGCCGTGATGCCAACACCCTGCGTACTTCTGCCTTGGCATTGATCTTCTCCACGGCTGAGTATTGTGCTCCAGTCTGGGAGGGGAGCTGCCACACGAAGCTAATAGACACACAACTAAATTCTACCTCACGAATTATAACAGGGGTTTGCCAACCTACAAGAATCGACTGGCTTCCAGTTCTTGCTCACATCTCTCCACCTGAGCTACGCAGAAAGGAAGCCACCAAGAAAATGTACCAAAAACTCTTGGATTCACCCGACCTCGAAATTAACCCTATCCTACAGTCTCCCCCAAATCATAGACTAAAATCAAGGAAGCCGATATGGTCCAGAGGAAACCAACTTCTCTCCCAAAATTTTAATATCTCAGAAGCATGGACAAATTCCTGGATCAGCTCCGATATCCCAAACAAGAACCTCATCACAAGCCCAAGTGTCAAGATCCCAGGTTTTTCCCTCCCTCGACGAGAATGGGTGCTTCTAAACCGCTTTAGGACAGGTCAGGGAAGGTGTGCAGAGCTGATGAAGTTATGGGGCTACACCAAAGATCCAAATTGTGCCTGCAACGTCCCATAATCAATGTCCCATATACTAGATGACTGCCCGCTGTACAAAATCAATGGAGGAATCTCCAATCTCCATTCTGTCACCCCGGAAGCCCTGAACTGGCTGAAGGCCTTGCCTCTCAGACTTTAATGACCAATATGTCCTCACTTCTTTTTTCTAGATTTAATTCATTTTGTCTCCTCTCTAATTGTAAATACGCTGCTGTATCACCTCATAAGCATAAATAAATAAACGAAGGGGATATGATGTACAGATCTATATTTCATATATTGAGGTACAAGTCAGCAACAAGCCGACGAAGACTAATAGCGTAAAACGCATATGTGTGGTTGGCTTTTTTTTATTTATCATTAGAATGCGTTTTCCAATATATTTATTGAAAAATACTTTAAAATCAATGTTTATATAACATATTTATTTCGAAAGATACCGCTTTTCTATCTATACAGTTCATTAAGCGGCTCGGGGCATGCATATTAATTCATTTTATCTTTCAGACCTCTTCTATTCTTCGCTCTAACTTCTTATTTTCCTACATTACATGTTTAATGAGTAATTTTTAGTTCATCAAGTGAAGAAAGAGATCTAAGTAAAGATCGGTGGCAAGAGGAAGAAGTCCCATCACCGAGCTTTTATTGATTCGGCGGCCACATCATTAGGTAGAGAATGGGACTGCAGCTAATTGCTTAGGTAGACGTTCAATTAGCTATGGAGCTCCATCCATCCTGTCACATCGTGGCTTTCTGCACTTGTAGCAAGTCAATTCTTGAAGAGTCATCGAAATCCTTTGTATCTTCCTCAAAATGGATGAAGGATTAAAGTTCTAGAATATTTTGTATTCTCCCTCTATGTTCTAGTCCAAGGGTTGGTAACCTGCGGATCGCGAGCAACATGCGGCTCTTTGGATGTAAAAATGCGTGTAGTGCTCGTATAAATAAAAAATATTATTTATGCAGGTACTACAAGGTTTTCCCAAAAGTTCGTAAACACTAGCAAAAAATTAAACTCAACATTATTCGCCGTTGTATAACTAGCCGAATAACCCGGGCAACGCCCGGGTTTTACCCGATCAAATGCTTTTATTCAAATACTATTCGTTACAATTATAAATTGGCGCCGTGGATGTCATTCTTGTATAATATATAAATGAGTTTTAAAAATTGTAAAAAAAAAAATGCCTCGGTCGGGAATCGAACCCGGGGCGCCGGCGTGGCAGGCAAGCATTTTACCACTGAACCAAAAGCAAACGGTGACAGAATTAAGAACGCATGACGCTGATAACTGTATATATTATGTCTGTGTATTATGTATTATTATGTATGTCGCTGTTTAATTTTATTCACCAAGTAATAAGAACAACAACGTTTTAAGAAAAACACGAACTTTAGAGATAACCTTATATTTATTATCGTAAAGAGAGAGGCTGCCTGGCCGGCATTCATATTTATTTGAAAAATAGACACTTCGGCCAGTTTTTTATATGAAAAACTCTAACTGGCCGAAGTGTCTATTTTTCTTATATTTATTGTTGGCAAGAAAAAATTGTGTGGCTTTTTAAAACTTTAAAATTTTGTAAATTTTAATTTTTGACTCCTCCAACTCAAAAGATTGCCAACCCCTGATTTACTCTATCATATGCGATCTAACTAAATTTTCAGTCTATTATATGCTCTAACTCTATGTTCTAGAATTAAAAATCTTTCATTAATAATTCAGATATGATAGATGCTTATAAATATTACTTTCTTCTTTCACCACCACTTTAAAGGATAATAAATACTTGTATCTAATCATTTTCATCTTTAATTACTAAGTATTCACAAAAACCAATTGTGACAATATTATGTGGGTGGGTGTTTTGTCCACCCCGGAGATGACATTTCCCGTTAGTCAGCCACATTTCAGAGTTCCCTGTTCACGGTTGCCGTAGCGGCTCGGGGCTCACGACACCGTACTTCGCCCTACAGGGCAGTGCCCTACTTGTGCTGCTTCTCCTGCCCGCCACATAGAGGAGGAGTTGGACTTCTGGGCATGACAATATTATGTGTTCTAGTATATCTCTGTTATTGATAATAGGGTAGTGGTTTTTACATATATTTAATTGAGGTTTTGTAAAAATGACCAGGAAAGAGAGAGACAGAGATTGAAGTTACTTTATTACATCTTTCATATAAGGTTAAATACAAAATTAAATAAATAAGATGAAAATAATTATGGAATATAAATAAATAAATGTGAATATAAATATATGATTTATAAATATACATATATAAATAAAATATAGGCAGTCTTCATTGTGGTTGCGCCCCCCGCGGGAAAGACACCGCCACCGGTGGACTGCGAGATTTCTCTCCCACAGAGTGGGCAGGTCTAGAGAGAGAGAGAGAGATTGAGATTGTGAAACTGATTTATTATAATGTCCATATAAGGTTATATAAGGTTAAATATAAAATAAATATATATATGAATAAATAATATTAAATAAGGATGAACAGATTAAAGATAATTATTGCTCTAAAATGTAAATTTAAATAACTTTCACTCTCTCCTTAAAACTAGCAATAAGTTATATATATTTTTTAAGATTATGTACATAAAATAGTCTAAACATTTACATGCAAATATCCACATAGAATATAGCGTGTGTTTTGCAATAAATACATTTTAAAAATGAACAGATAACAGAGGCAGAGAGTGGATGAGCCACGATATAGAAAAGTATTCGGTTTTAAGTTAAGCGGTCCTTGAATAGTTCCTGTAGAAGTATCAATTGGAATTTATATATATAAAGGCAGAATAATCATCCAATATTTTCCTAGAAAAGAATAGTACGTTGTAGGGTGAAGCGTATGTCTTTTTATTGTTGGAATAGATGCAAGCACTTTCAAACACAACGCTGTCTACTCTATAGAGTGATATATCTATAAAGCATGTAGAAGAGTGTCGTGATTTCTCGAAAGCTTGATTCTCTTTCACCAATATAAAGATATGTTCTTCGTTCAACAACGTCTTTATTTAAAAGACTTATCTGTATTTCTTTCCATTTTTTCATCATAGTAGAACTGTGTAGTAGAACAAGTAGCTTAGATATCTAATACCTTCGTAAGAAGGTACGTGGTGTCGCTGGAGACCCGCTGGCCATTCTCCACCAAACTCTGCGGCGGTGGCTGAGGCGCCATGTTCTTTGTACATAGTATGATGCATATATATATAGATGGAAATTTTGCCGGGAGAATATCGATTTAAAGAGACAAAGGTCGCCTCTCCCGTCAAAATAGACATCAAAATTAGACGCCATCTATTGACCGTCACCGCAAACTAGCGGTCTTTGGGAGATTGTCAAGATTCCATTAGATCCCGTGTGGATCACATGGAATAAAGTCCGCCCTAGACTGACGAGGGCCATTAGCCCGAAACCATGGTCTCTAGGTGGACGCTTTTCAGTTTGCCAAAGCTGGTGTTGTGGCTTTGTCACCGACCCGAGACCGCTAGTTTGCGGAGACTGTCAATAGATGGCGTCTAGTTTTGACGTCTATTTTGACGGGAGAGGCGACCTTTGTCTCCTTATATATTGTTACATCATGATTAATGGCGTATTTCTTATATTAGTTTTAATATATTTGAAATTTAAATTATATATTTATTTATTTTTATATAAAATATTCTATGATATTTATTTAAAACAGATTATTAATTTATCACCATTTGTATTTAGGTACACTGTGACTTCACTGCTCTCTTTGATGTGAGAAAATAAAGAGAGGATTCTGGTGGCTACTTAAAGAAGACTTATCTCGTTATTCCCTTTTATAAATTTCTAGGATGGTTGAAACACGCTCTGGTAAGATGCAGGACCCAGCACAGGAGAGAATCCAGGCTGAAGAGTCTGCCAAGCCGCAACCTGGTGCAACAATTGGTAGAGATGCTAGTTCCGACCCAGTTGTCCTGAATCCCAACATCGACATCCCCAAGTATGATGGAACGGAAGACCCTCGCCCATGGATTGAATCTCTTGAAGAAATTGGCTTCTTGTACCATTGGGCAGACTACATTATCTCTCGTTATGCCGCCATGAACATGACGGGAAGCGCTAAAACCTGGTTGAATTTACACAAAGCTAGTTTCACGAGCTGGGAAAATATTAAAATCCGCCTCATTCAGGATTTTTCTTTGGACGCGAATAAAGAAGAACTTAGAATGAAGCTCAACAGAATGCAACACTGGAATGAACCAGCAATCAGGTTCGCGGAAGACATTCTAGTGTTGTGCAACAAGGTTGACCCCGCAATGGAAGAAGAAACAAAAATTGAACATGTTATTGGAGGACTGAAAAAAGAGTACTCATTCGCGCTCTACCTGAACCCTCCTAAAACGACCGATGACCTTCTTGTCGTGTGCAAGAAAATGGATTATTTTGAAAAGAAGTATCGGGAACGTGTGGAGAAATCCAGAAACCTATATAACGGTCCACGCTATTCTAGACCCCAACAACAATCGAGGTACTTGCCGCCGACTGCCGCACGAAACTACCAGACCACTTCCAGGCCCCAAGCCCCTGTTTCCAATAATTACAAGAACGACTCCCCTCCTACCCCCAGACAGTATCGAAACAACTTTCCCCAGCCCTCTACCCCTAGACGTCCTTATAATCCTAACTTTGTGCCGAAACCAAACCTTCAGAGAAACACTTACAATAAAAGCCAAGAAGTGAGCAAAAATAGGACGGAAGATGGAAGACCAATCTGCTTTAAATGTAACAAGCCAGGGCACGTGGCCCGTTATTGTAGGGTCAAGTTTATAAGAATCCTAGAAGAGGATCCAGCAGATACCCAAGAGAAGGTCGAAGAAAAATGCCAAATGAATGAAACATCAGAGAAATCAGGACCTCGGCTTTATGCTGATGTATGTCATAGCACACAGACAAATATTCCTACCCGGAATAGATATTCCGTGTTGGAAGATTTAAACTAAGCGTCGCGCCTGAATCTGTCAATCAAAGCAAGTCGACCATAAACGGAATCAAGAAGTTGGACCCTAAATACAAATTAAAAATTAATGTGGACAAGATAGGGACTTTTGAAGCTTTGGTTGATACAGGTGCTGACCTCTCAGTGGTCGACCTCAGAACGGCCCTCGATACAGGCCATGGTATAAGTAAACTCGCAAAAATTTGTGCAGGACCCGATGGAAAAAAATTGGACATGGTAGGAAGTATATTTTTAAATATAAAAATTGATGACGAAACATTATCACACAACTTTGTGATATTGAAAACGCATTTACGGACATTAATTATTGGGAGAGATTTCCTTAAGAAAATGAACGCAAAAATAGATTGTAAGCAAGAAACTATAAAATATGATTTGACGAATAATCATGACGAAATCAATTTTGAAATGTTGAAAATAAAGAGTGCCAAGGATTCCATTGTACCGGAATGTTCCATGAAATTGATCAAAGCATTGGTAGAAACAGAGGATGGAGAATATATTATCGAAGAGAGCAGCAAAATGTTTCAAACAAATGGACTTCGTCTAGCAAGAAGCTTGATCAATGTTATAAATAGGGAAACACACATCTGGATAACTAATCCGTATCCTCGACCGTTAAAAATAATGAAAAACCAAACATTGGCTTTTGGAAGTAGTCCAGCGAAAATAAATGTGAGTCGAGAAAGAGAGGTAGAAAAGAACGAAGAACCTAGATTCCAAATAAACGAAAATCTTTCACCAAAGGAACAGAAGGAGTTAAAACAAGTTTTAGAAAGGTATGGAGATCTTTTTTCATCGAGATTAGGGAGAACCAATTTGGCAAAACATCGGATAGACACAGAAGACGCGAAGCCAATTAAACACAAGCCTTACCGGGTAAGTGCTAAAGAACGAGATATTATAAAAGAGCAAATTGACGAGATGCTTACAGAAGGCATAATTAGGCCATCTTCTAGCCCCTGGTCTTTTCCAGTAATATTGGTCAAGAAGCGAGATGGTAAATACAGATTTTGTGTGGACTACAGAAAACTGAATAATGTGACGGTAAAAGATGTCTATCCGATCCCTAGAATAGACGAAGTTATGGATACTCTCCAAGGATCTACACACTTCTCAGCAATAGACCTCAGATCTGGATATTGGCAAGTTGAAGTCGAAGAAAGAGACAAAGAGAAAACAGCTTTCACTACAGCGCATGGATTATATGAATTCAACGTGATGCCTTTTGGACTTTGTAACGCGCCTGCTACCTTT